CCCCCGAGGACAGTGAGGGACGGCCTGTTGCTGCGTTTTGGAAAGCGGCTCCCGGCCAGGCTGGAGGCTGCTGCTGTGCGCCCCGAGAGCCGTGGCCTCAGGGGAAGTGTATCAGCTTGGCATGGCGGGGGGCACGGGAGGTGTCCAGGGAGGCTCCGGCGGCCTCTGCTTGGTTCTGGGGTTGAGAATACAGGAGGGAGCGGTTTGGTGACTGAGGACTGGGGGGCAGAATAAGAAGGGCGTGCAGGCGGGAGCGGAATTGCTGAGTCTCGCAGTCACCGCACAGTGAAGCTGCCGAGGGGCTCCCGGTCGCTTCCCACGGTGGCCGGGCCGTTTCACACCCCACAGCAGTGTGTGAGGGTGTCGGTTTCTGCATGTGTATCCTTGCCAACCCTGAGTTTCCATGTTAGGGGTTTTTATACCCATCCCAGTGAGTGTCAAGTAGTATCTCCTTGCGGTTTTGATTTGCATTTCACTAATGAATAACATAGTGAGAATCTTTTCATGTGTTTATTGGCCATTTGTGTGTCTTTGGGGAAATGTTTATTCAAGTCTTTTGCTTGTTTTTTAAAACTGGGTTGTCTTTTTTTTTTTAAGCTTTTATTGGGGGATTGGGGGATTGGGGGAGGGGACCAGCCAAGCTGTTGTCCTTCGATCTTAGTTGTGGAGGGCGCAGCTAGCGCAGCTCCGAGTCCAGTCACACCACTCAGCTCAAGGTGCTGTGTTCAGTAGTTGCGGGTGGGCGTAGCCACCATTCCATGCGGGAGTTCAAACGGCAGCCTCGTTGTTAAGAGCGCACGCTCTATCCGCTGAGCCATCCAGGCGGCAGCTCAGCTCAAGGTGCTGAGTTCAGTTGTGGGCAGGCGTAGCCACCATCTCAAACAGACAACCTTGTTGTTAGGAGCATCCTGCCACCTGTTGGCAGCTCAGCGGCAGCTCATCTTGGGCGCAGCTCACTGGCCCATGTGGGAATCGAACCGATGACCCTGTTGCTCAGAGCTCGCGCACTTGGGCAAGCTCTTAACCAACTGAGCAATCGGCCGGCCCCAGTTATTTGTCTTTTTGTTGTTGACTTGTAAGAGTTTTTTATGTATCCTGGATAATAGACCACAAATCACATATATGAGTTGCAAGTATTTTGGTAAAAAGTTCTAAAATTTTTCCTTTTGTCAAAGCTTTTGACCTTGGGTGTTCATATTTAAGAATGAAGCTTGCAACATACTGAATGAAGATTAGAATGCAGAATTAAATATGAATGAGAATCCAACTGGTGAAGACAGGTATTAAAGAGATTTGCAGAATGTAAATTCTCTAATTATTTGAAAATATATTTTTTTATTTAAAATGGTAAGTAATGGGTTTATTATTTGTGGATAAACTAATATTTACATTTTTCTGTTTTAATTGCTAATGTGATAAGTATTAATAGATATTACCCACATAAACAAATATTCCTTGGGGTTCTCAATACTTTTAAGAATGAAGAGTTCCTGAGTCAAAAAAGTAAAACAAAAAAATTTTAAAAACTGATCTATTCTAATGTCAATTATTTTAATAAACTAGCTTTCTTTTCATCTTACTCTTTATCTTAAATAGTGACCTGACATCCCTAGAGTATGATCTTTACTGACTTAAATAAAATCCCTTAAGCCAGGAGTTATTAATGTCAAATTTTTAAATGTATTGTAGAAGTCCATAAATCCTTATATTTCTCTTATTCAGTTAGAATTTTAGTTTTTAATGGCTTTCTAAATACAACTCTTGGTTTTAAAAACTCCAAAAGCATTTTTGTGTGTTTGATTATATCCTTTATGTCAAAATCAACACTAAATTTAGTAATCAGTACTATGGCTATAACTCCTATTTGCTCAACTTTCAAGTCTCAGATTAAATGATACTTCCTCAGGAAGACTTTCCCTAACCCTTAGACTAGTTTAGGTCATTTTAAATTTCCTGTAGCACCTTGTATTTCCCCACATCTCCAGATTACAGGAATTTCCTAGGGTATCATTTCTGGGCCCCAACTTAGGTTGTAGAATCTATTTTTAAGCAGTGTCCCAAGTGATTTTACATCAGGCAAGTTTGAGAAAAGGTACTCTATAATATTTATGTGCTCCCTCACCATCCTCCCTACCCCGCTTTTGGAAAAATGCTTGTTATGTGCCTGTCATGCTTCATAAGGGCAGAGACTGATGTCCTCAACACTTAGAATATGACTTAGCAAACAGAGGTTCAATTACTACTGAATAATATATTACAGAATGATTCTCTAGAGAAATGTATTCATTCTTGAAACTGGAATCTAATTTCTTGGTAATAGAGTAGGTGTATTTTAATATCATTAAAAACTTCCAGTTTTCTAAAATGTTTTTAACAATTTGTATTCCCTCTAGTAATGTATGAGTTCGTTTGTCCACATCCTCCCCAGTATTTGGAATTACCAGTTTTTTATTGAGTATGCCTTACACCTTCCTTTCCTACTGAATTGAATTAGTGCATTTCCCAAAAATGAAATGGCTCTTTCTGAACTCTCGTAATTTGTTCTTTAATCTCTTAGTCCAACATACTACACTACCAATATTGTAGCTTTATAAGTCTTGAAATATATGTCATCCAACTTTATTCTTCAAGATTGTTTAGGCTATTCTAGATTCATTGCATTTCCATATAAGTTACTTCTCCCCAGAACCCTTCCGCAATTTTGACTGAACTTGTGTTGAATCTATAGCTCAATTTGTAGAGAACAGATCTTAACAATATTGTGTCTCTCAATCCATAAACACACCTGGCCTGGATCCCTGCACAGCCGAGTCCCCTCTGCACAGCTCGGACAGTTCTGGGGCTTTTCATGCTGTTGGGAGGGTCCCAGCACTGTGTCCAGGGGGCAGATGAGGGCGGAAGGCGCCCTGCAGAGAGGCCCCCCGTCACCAGGATGAGTTCCACGTGCCGGCCCTTCCTTCTGCTCACACCAGGGCCTGCTTAGTGTCACCCTGCTTCTGACCTTGGACGTCCTGACACACAGGCCTGATTTCATCCCCAAACGGGAGGGGGTTGCGAAACAGGGCAATTAATCATTTGACGGGAAGAGACGGCACAGCAGGCCCGGTGCTCAGTGACCACTGTGTCTGGGGAGCATCTGCGCCCTCTCCCAGGGCCAGAAAGACACAGCACTGGAGATGAAGGGAAGCTGAGGACAATGCAGTGGCCCTTGGGCGTGGAAAACTAGGGGCCTGCAGACCTCACTGGCTTCTGGCTTCCCCATACCACGAGGGATTCCTGGGCACTTGGCCTCTGTGGATGCATTTCCCTGGGATCTCTCTGAGAAAGGAAATGGGGTTCCTCCTCCCAAGCCCCCTAGCTCAACAGGTGGGCGTCCCCAGGCCCTCTGGGGATCATCCTCAGAGCCCGCCATGGAGCAGGAATGCCGACTCCAGGCAAACCCCAACTCTAAGGGCCCCCCACCTCCTAAAGGAAGACAGTCGTTCTGGCTGGTGGGATACAGCCAGAGGGGTGCCTGTTGGCGGGGTGGGGCTGTGTGCCTCGATCCGAGGACCTCCCCACCCCCCACCCACTCCAAGGCCTCAGAGTGTCCCTCTGACTTCTCCCATATCTGCCTGCTGCAGGGCTGGCTCTGGGCACATAGAGGAGGACAGTGGATTTCCAGACCCTTCCTCCTCCTCTTCCCCCTCCGTTGTGAGCACAGATCTGGGTGCACAGTCCCAGATGGCGCCTTTCTTTCTTTGCCAGGTCATAGGTCCCATTGCCCAGCCCCGGCTCTGCTGCCCGGTCAGCCAGGCTGAGCTCCTGAGTCCGGGCGAGGGGCCTGACAGGCCTTTGTCATTGCTGTCCTCACCAAGACATCCGCTGGCTCACAGCCGGGCCAGGGGTGGTGCTGTGGGCTCGTGGTGCTGCCTGCAGACCCTCCTCCAGCAGGAGCAGCGGCGTCCCTGCAGGCTCTGCTGAGATGCCCTCTAGGCTGGGACCAGGAAGGTGTCTGAGTGGGTGGAGGACAAGGGTCTGCCCCTCTCCCTCCGCCCACCCAGCAAACACTGAGTCCCAGGATGCCTCCCTGTCACAGCCTGGGCCTCTGTCCACTGCCTGGGCGGGGCTGCTCTGGCCTCTCCCAGCAGCCTGACCCTCACAGAGTCCAGGGTGGCTCCAGGCCCAGCTCAAGTGACTTGTTTAGGCTTCTTCTTATGGCAGCTGAGTTCAAAGAGCTATGGTCATTAACTTTTTGTAAATACCTTTGTTGAGGTATATTTTACTCATTTCAAATGTACAATTCACTGATTTTAATAATTTTATCAAGTGGTGCAGCCATCCCATCAAATGTTTTAAAACATTTCAATCCCTCCAGTAAGATCCCTTATGACCATTTACCATTAACTTCTCTTCCTATCCCCTGAACCAGGCAGCCAGTAATCTACTTTCTGTCTATAAATTTGCTTTTCTGTACGTTCATTTAAATGGAATCGGGCAATATGTGATCTCTTGTCTGGCTTCTTTCATTCAGCATAATGTTTTTGAGATTAATCCATGAGGTTACATGTGTCAATAGTTTGTTCCTTTTTACTGCTGGAAGATATCCCATTGCATGGATATACCATGTCATTGGTTTTTAGTAAGTCTACAGTTTGTTTTGGAAACATTTTTTATTCAGGTTTGATATAAACGGTCATATTATACCTTTAATACTCTATTTTTTGGATTGAGACTTTTTTGGTGGCCTAATACATTGTGGGTTTAATGTTCCTTGGAAATTTTAAAAGAATACCTTGTGTGTTTAAATAGTACAGTCTTTTCTGTAGCTGTCAATTTATACTTTTAAAAAGTTGTTCAAATGTTCTATCAGTTTTGTTTATTAGCCCTCTTATATTGGAATCTTTGACTATCATTGCCACTTTATCAAATACTTATTTTTCTAATATTTTTAAAATATAATGCCAAGTATAAAAATAGTTCAATATTTATACCTGTTCTAGAATATACACCCTTGAGAGATGCAGGCCACTGCAGTGGTGGAGACAGCTTCTGGTGAAGGCCACCACAGTAATGGAGGAAGCAGCCAAAAAGGTGAGGGAACCGGCCAGCTGGCTTTATTCCGGGTGGAGCGAGGTATGAAAATAACTGGGCTAGATAGTTCCCCCTCTGGTGTTGCTACTTTTTAAGCTTCCCTCCCAGTCATGTGGTAAGATTCAGCATGTTTTAACTTGGCAAACTCACCCAGGTGATTTTTGGTGAATATGGGCAGCCTACACAGGAGCTCTCAGCGAAATGGAAGGTTTACAGAGGGGAAGGGGAACCAGACGAGAGGGCTTCTGTCCAGCCAGGCTTTCGGGAACTTGTGACAGGTACAGAGGCCGTATGTAGAAAGTGGGCGGGTTGACCTCTGCTATCCAAGTTGTATGTTTTGTCTCCACACAAATGTGAAATTTATTTTTCTGTGGTAATGGTAGAAGAGAAAACAAGAAATAAAAAGCAAGCTGGCTAAACTTTTATGTGCTTATGCATATATGTGGGTTAAATATTAAGAGGACTTTAGAATATGATAAAAATGCTATTTCAAGTGAGAAGGGAAGTAGTGGATTATTCAGCAAATGGTTGTAAGGCAATCGACCATCCATTTTGGGAAAAAATTAAGTTAGATTCCTACCTTACACTATGGAGAAAAAATCTACATAGTGTGACATGGCTAAGTGTTACACACAGAGAGAATTAGAATAAATTATAAAAGAATACTTTATAATCATGTGGTAGGGAGGGCCAGAGGAACAAAACCCAGAAGTGAGAGAAGAAAAAACTGATCCATTTAACTAAATGATCTTAAAAACCATGGTATGATAAGATATTACAAAAAGTTAAAAAATAAGCAAACTACGAAAAGTTCACTTATAAATATGAAAAACAAATAATTAGTATCCAGAATATATAACAAATACCCATACAAATCCCTAAGAAAAGCACAGTCAACCCATGAGTTTATAATTGTAGCTAGCACTGATTTCCTTAGCTCCAGCCCCATAATTAAACAGCTTATTAGATATTTGAATCTGGGTGTCTTTTCACTCACCTCAAACTCCACTTGCCTGGAAATGAACTCATTATCTTCTCCCCCCTTGCTTTTCCTTTTCATATTCTAAATCAACTCTTGTTCACAATGACCCTATTCTCTAGCTCCAAATATTCCCATCCAGCTGTAATACCAAGTTGTAAGTCTTTATGTCTTAAAGTGATTGCCCCGCTGGTGAGTCATGACATCAGTTTAGCTGGTTGTGATCAGCTTTTTCAAAAAATAAAATAGACTAGAAAATACCAGAATACATTGGACATAGTCGGAGTAGTTACTGTTTTGTAAAAATTTTTGTTTCACTTATACATACACATATATGTATGTGTGTACTGGATCTTGATATAAAATGTGTTTCTGATTGTGTTCTTTAGGCAAAAAAAATAATAGTAATTGAAGTCACTAATCTCTTTCTCTCTCATCTACCATTCCCAACCAACCACCCAGTCTCGTCAGTTATGGGACTTGGATACCAGCGTCTTCTCCAGGTCCACGCCTGCACTTGGGGTCTAGCTGCCTCAGTCTCCCCTTCAAGCCTTCGTTCTTACTGTTGCCAGGGGTATCTACACTCAGTTCCATTCCAATGACTGCCCTTGTAAGAAGCTTTCTGCAGTCCCCCGTAGCCTTACAGTAAGAGCCAGACGCCTTAGCACTCCAAGAAAGGCCTTTTTCTGATCATAGCTCCTGCCGCTCCTTGGAGCCATTTCACTCCAGATAAGGCGCTTTACAAAGAACATGCCAGAAATGCCATGCTCTGTCACACTGCTAACTGTGCGTGTGCTATTCGATTGGCCTAAGATAGCTATCTGTTTTGTTTCAAAACACATTTTAAATGAAAAGTTTCCTCTGAAATCTGCTTCTCCTTTCTTCTTAAGCACTTACCTGCTCATCGCCACCCCTCTGTCCACACATTTAACTATATTACAATTATGTGAGCTTTGCGTGTTTGTGACCCTTGGGAAAGCCATGAGTATTTGAGTGCAGCACCTTTCCTTTGTTCCTGCAGTGCCGAAGGCTGGAGCTAGGAGACACTCAAATGTTACAGATGGGTGGGCTGCCTTATAAGTAGTAAACTCCTTGCCATTGAAAGAGTTCAAGACGAATCTTGGCTACTATCTTAGCTGGGGCTGCTATAACAAAATATCATAGACTGGGGGGCAGGGGGGAAGGGCAGTGCTTAAACCACAGATGTTAGATGTTAATTTTCTCACAATTCCAGAGGCTGGAAGTCCGAATCATGGTGCCAGCACAGTCAGGTTTTGGTGACATCTTTCTTCCTGGCTTATAGACAGCTACCTCTTGCAGTGTCCTCACATGGTGGAGAAAGAGCACTTGTCCCATCTTGAGGCATTTATGCCTTCTGGAGGGCCCCATCCTCATGACCACATCTAGGCCTGATCACCTCCCAAAGGCCCCCTCTGGGATTACTGTCACATTGGGAATTTGGACTTTAACAAAGGAATTTTGAGGGGACACAGTTCAGTCCATAGCAGCAATCACAAGGGGTGTTTGCCATGGATAATGTAAAAGCTATTTCTACATTGGGAAGAGCTTGGACTAGGTCACCACTAAGGTCTTTTCTACTGTTTAGATTCTGTGATGTTGCTGCTGTTAACATTTTATCCTTTTTTTAAATAGATGAGCCTTCTGATCCTAAGAAAGAAAATGTATTCTCTTCCAATGGTTGTAATGAAGCCAGATGGACTTTTCTTGATGACTGGGATTTCTCAGCACCAAAACAAAGAACTAATGACAAAAATATCAGCAGTATTGACAAAATGGATTTGCTGGCGCCATATCTTAGTGCGAGTCCAGGCACCAACACAGAGCGTCTTCACTATCCGTCAGATGAGTCTGAAGACAGTACTGACTATGCTTCCTTAAATGAAACATTCTTCACACAGTATTCAGACTCAAAATTGAAGAATGAAAATCTTTTTCTTTCAGATTCAGAATTCGATTCTGAAATGCAGAAAAGGGAGGAGGTGTTTTTCGATCTTTTGGAACATCAAGGTAATAAGATTATTGGGTTGGAAAGAATCTTCAAGATTTCAGATGATGATTATAAAGAAACTGAAGATGTGCGAAAGCATGATAAAGATGAAGACGTACAGCAGGAATACCACACTGTGGAAGAACCAGAATATCTAAGTAACCATTTATCTTTGGACCGAGCAAAAACATCAAACATGTCTAATCTGGAAGTTGTTGGATTAAGAAATTCAGGTTATGACATTAAATGTGCTAGCAACTTAGAAGTTAATCATGTTGAATTGGAAAGCACTAGCATCTCTTTAGATTCAGTTGATGTTTATGGACAAGAAGATTCACCTCTTGTCTCTAAATTTCAAAATTCTGTTATGTTAAGAGAATATCATGAACCAAAGTATGAAAAGTATAAGGAACAAGAGACTAGTTTAATGTACCACACAGCATCTGATGAAATTGTACTGAGTAGTCTTCCTGAAAACCAGAGATACCAATCTAAGACTGGTTTCTTGAACCCTCAGAAAGCATTAAAAACTAAGGTTTATACTTGCAAAATAAAATCTGAGGTAACTGAAACGAAAGATTTTTGTGGAAATGCAAAGGTTGAGAACAGAATGTTACACCTTGAAGATCTTAACACATTACCACCGTTCAGAGCTTTGGAGACATTACAACAACCCTATAAAGATTATCAAACTTCGTGGACCTCTATATTTGATGATTCAGTCATTTCTGCCTGTGGATATTCACATTATAAAAGCCTACAAAACATTCCTAACCCAGCCTTAGATTTTTCCCTTGTTCTACCAAGGATTGGAGTCAAAGATAATCAGGCAATAAAAGAAGATAACTCCCTAAAAGTTGCTAATGCCAATACCACAAATAAATGCTTTCACGATGTGGAAGGGACATGCCCTGAGTCCGTGATAGGGGCAGCACAGTGTACAGTCACAGTTAATCAGACAGTGGACGTTAGCACTGACTTTAGGGGTTGTTTCACAACCAGCAGAGCGACAAGTGCGAGACCTTCCATGGTGTCCACATCAAGCAACACAGAGATGACCATGATGAATCGAAAATGGCCTGGTGAATGGCAAAGCGAGAAACAAACAAGTGTGGCCTGTAACACAGATTGGTTATGTGGTCAAGACAACGAAGATACACAGATGGCTGTGACAAAGGGGTCCCTGGGAAAATCTCTCTCAGATAACATTTTCAAGCCTAATGGCAATTTTCTAAATAAGGTAAAACCAATATGATTAATAATAGGAACTTATTTGACTTATATAAAGAGGCAGGGTATGCTCATGTAAATGTTTTGGTCCATTAAATTTTAGCGGGGGTTCCTGAGGCTTTTGTGAGAAAATGCTGGATAAAGGGAAATGGTAAATAGATTACAGCCAGCCCTATCCTTTTCTGGTGGCAGCTTTTGCCACAAAGTCAATTAGAAATTGGGTTTTACATTTTACCAGCATGGAACTCCAGAGAGAGGATGTGTTGTTTGTCATATATTTCTAATCTGATTTTAAATCGTTTGCAGGGTTCCCTGGAATTAAGAAAAACATTTGCTACTGCAGACTTAAAGGAACGTCCTGAGACGTAAGTTTAGATGTATAAGCACATGGAGAAAAATACAAAATAATAATTTGATTTTTTTGTGGGGTACTTAACCATGTAGAATAATACAAGGTGTGATCGAACACTACACTTGTATTGATGTATTGATGAACAATACAGTGAATGTTTAAATTTAAAAAATTGTTACAGTAGAAGACACATTGCCATTAATCCTCCTCAAAATACTCTCCCTCACTTCAAACACACATCCTGTTCTTGCCACTTTCTGAAGCAGTTCTGGAAGTCCTCTTTCATGAGTGTCTTTAGTTGTGCTGTCGTGGCTGCCTTGATGTCCCAAATCATTGTGACTTTGGGGAAGAGCCAGAAGTCACACAGTGCCAGATGCAGTGAATAAGGTGGATGAGAACACACTATAATGTGTTCTGTTGGACAGAAATTGCCGTATACCAGAAGCGATGTGTGACACAGAGTGTTGTCATGATGGAAGATGAAGTAAAGACACGAAAAAGGACTTTCAGAACTGCTTCAGAAAGTGGCAAGAACGACAGGATGTGTGTTTGAAGTGACGGAGGGTATTTTGAGGGGGATTAATGGCAATGTGTCTTCTGTAACAATTTTTTTTAATTTAAATATTCACCGTATTTTTTTTATAACACCTCATATTTTAAAGGGACCGTAAAAGAGCATCTGCTTCACTATTTGCCTTCAAATAAATAAATAATAGGATAATATGTTAAAGCTTTTTCACTGAGATTCAAGTCTCAATAATTCCTTTAGAAATTCATGGATTTTTATTTATTCAACCCAAATCCATGCTGATTTAATTACTCAAGTTTTCTTTATTTAATCCCCCTGAAAAGCATAACAGAATAGCACCTTGGCAAAATGCCATATATATGAAGAAGTAAATACTGGGATATTTTAATCTTGATTTTAATTCATTGTATAATTTACTTTGCATTTATTAAACACCCTTATAATCCATAATACAATGGAGAAATCAGGAAGTGGGGGATGGGAGAGAAAAGGGGAAGTCTCTGAGAAGCCAAATTCATTTTCCTGCTCTTCATTTTTCTTCATTCTTCTAATGAGTTTAATTCAGTCTCCAACCCTATCAAATTTAGAAGAGTTCGTTTCCAAAGGCAGACGTAGTGAGAACAGCTGGGAGGGGCAACTAGTAGCAGAAGTGTGTTCAAAACACGTAGTGATGTGGGGCTTTTTGATAAAATAACACAGCAAAATATTTGCTTATAATCCTTAATTATTAAGAAAAATGTAAATTATGTCTATTTTCTATTAAAAAGATACCATTTAAGAAAAGTTTCTATCCAGAATGCTTATAACTTTAAAAAAATGTTGGCCAAAGCTTGGTTTAGGTTGAAAACCTATTAATTCTGGGTAAAGTCAGTACTTTACTTTGGAATTCTATTATGTAAAAGAAAGTATGAATTTGAGAATTATTACTCCCTTCACTTGTAGAAGAATACACAGAGGCTGCCAAAAAAAATGTACACACATTTTAAGAAAGGAAAATACAATTAAAATTGTAATATATGCCGAAATCAAAGGTGAATACAAGTCACATTTGACTTCTGCAATTACAAGAGGTGTTCAAAGTTTATCAAATTCTAATATGTTGTTTTCCTTTTTTAAAATGTGTATACATTTTTTTGGCAGCCTTGTATTTAGCCTTGACTCTTGACATCCTTGTTTTCTGCAGCTGGAATGTGTTCCTACAGCTTTTCCATGTTCGGTGGAAATTGTTTTAAACTTGACAGGGAAATGTAACAAACTTAAAATCTGTGTCTAGAGGCATGTCATTAACAGAGAAGACTACCTGGAATCTTACCTAATCATATTTTTCATTTTAAAGGGAACCTCAACTTTCTAAAGAAATGGAGAAGAATTTGGAGTGCTGTCAGAATACAATGCAAAGAGCCATCAAGGCAGAGATGCACCTTTTAAACGTTCAGTTTCAGATGTGTTATCACCATTGTATTGATATTTACAAACTTATAATGGAAAATCATGGATTAAATAGGTGATTGTTAATTTTAAATCTGTGTCTTATTAGAAATCTATCACTAGTTCTAAATGTATTCTAGAAAATTTCTTCAATTTTCGTTTTTGAAGGGCAAAATGAAGGGTAGATTGAAACTGGACTTTAAAAAGCAATACATTTGAATTTCATGGAGAGTCAGCAGTGCATGTTGGGATGATGAATGTAGTAAAAAGATAGATCTGGTGTTTCTTGTAAAGTCCCAAGTGTGGATGAAGCCAGTTGCAGAGTTTCACACGACATTCCATCACATTATTCCTGGCTTATGTATTGAGGGTTGCTGGTACTGCCCCTAGAAAAACAAATCTGTGGTTCCTTTTCTTTTACTAGACATTTAAAAGAAAAAAATCTAAAGATCTGATAGAACTAAGTATATAATATTAGAGTTAAATGGATGACTTGGGCCTAAATGAGTTTTGTGAACTTAACTTTTGTACAGCAATTTATCGAGTAATTCTAAGAAGGAATTAGGATCAGCACTACTGTCTGCTTTGGGAGACTTAAAAGTTAGACATGTGAATTTGAAAGAAAAAATAAACAAGGGCATACCACTGGAAGAGCTGCCCCCACTGTCAGTAGAAGCAAAATTATTATCTACCTTCTCTACTTTTGCTTCCAGGGTATGTATATATGTTTTAGGAACAAAATTTTTACTTCATTTAGACAGAACATTTTAAACTAAAAGATTTTTCTCCCCTTCTCTGTCTTTTCAGCTAATGAAAAAAGAAACACATACGTAAGTAATGATTTCTTCTAATTTAGAATTCATTAGATTTTAAAAATTGCTTAATTTAGTTAACTTAAAAGTTTTCTGTTTTGGTCCTTATATAGAACATTGATAAATTCTTTAATAAAATGTTTATCTGTTTAGCTTTTCAGGAGCAGATTCTGCACTAGATAATCAAAGTACATGTGATGTTGACGTTTCTTCGAGCCTAAAACAGACACTCTCCCAAGTGAGATTTTAAGTAGCTCATCAGTGGAAATCTTTCATTTTATGGCTTAAGCAAAGTAAACTAATTTGCAGGAGTTCTCACATCCTTCTTTTCACTCAACTGGCTGTGTGCTACCAGCTGAGGGGTGGTAACCGATTGGAAGGAACATGATGTCCTGATCAAACAGATGTCAGTAGTCTTATGTTGAGTAGGGTGACCATACAGTTTATCATCAAACTAGGAGACCTGAGGATGAATGGTAGTGATGTTAATAATTCATCATGACAACAGCTACAAACCTGGACTGTCTCTGGCAAACTGTGACTTATGGCCACCATCATGTTGATGCAGTAGGGTAAAAACTAGTATCTTAGAAAATTCATCTCATGAGGTAGAGTATTATCTTACTCATTTTAGACAGGGCAAACTTTTAATTCCTCCTTTATTGAAATATAATGTTTTATAATGTCTTTCATAGGTTTTCTTAACCTTTCTTAGTCCCAAAGGAAGTGTTTGTCAGACGACAGTCTATGGAAGAAGAGCACTCTGCAGATGGTGAAGGGATACAGAAACATAAGTTACATTCTATTATCAAGGGAGGCCATGGGGAGGACCACGGGGCTCATTCCTACTTTCTGACTCTGGTGTTAGCCCTGAAGTTGCATTATTTGGGTGTCTTATATAAGAAGATGCATTCCAAAGCGGAAAGTGAAATGCTTGATTGATTTATATTCCTTTCTGTTAATGTAAATGATTAAAAGTAAATTACGTTAGCAATTTGTTTATTCCCTTGTTCTACTCTTTAAAAAAAATAAACTCAGTTATCCACAAAGAATTAACAGATCTAAAACCAGATTTTTATATCCTCAAATTTCTTACATAGTTTGCTTAAACAACTTGTCCTTTTAATGGCATAATGTTCTGGAGTGGTTGTGTTTCATCATTGTAATGATAGCAATGGTATAAGCTGCTTATTTTGGGGTAGAGCAATAAAATTATTTTTTAAAGTACAAAATGCAGCTATAACATAATTTTTGTAAGCTTTAGCTATAAAACAGGATTTAAAGTTGGGATTACATTTTAATACATGGCTCATTAAATTAACAGCTTTTGCATGAAAGCCGGGTAGTATAGTGTTTCTAAATTTTAGTTACTTCTGTGCCATCTTCACAATTTTCCGTAGCCAAGTATTACCTATAACATTATTTGCTTTGTAGTTTTCTTTACACAATCCTTTTCAAATAAACTTAACATATAAAGAGTAACTTACTGTTACATATGGGAAAGAAATATTACTTCCCATAAATATGAGATATACGTTAGCACACATTATATAATTGGTTAAATGTTAATATGAGAAATACACGTATCCCTCCAAAAATCATCTGAATTACTTATGTGTGTATGCCACACTTTGCTAAATAATGGTAGCATTAGCATATAGTCACTATAACAGAGACTGGGTTCAAACCCTAATTCTTCTTGACTGTGTGACAGAGTACAGCAGGTCACACAGATTCCATTAGCTCACGTGTGAATGTGGGTGGGCGGTGACTTTACTCTGAGCCTTCCATGTTGTGGGGGCTCGTGCCAGTGAAGACTGCTGCCACGTAACTATTGGTCCTTATTTATTATCGTTGTGTTTATTATTTTAATCCTCAGGTGTCTTTATCATCTGATACTAGTCACCCCAACCAAGGCATGTTGCCCAAGGAAGCTAGTTTAAAAAATGGTGGTATGGATGTATACTTTCATCAACTAAAACTTGATGATAAAGGTCAGTATAAAAACGTATTGTTTTGTGTTTTCGCCAAAAAACAAATAATAAAACTTAAAATATCCCTAGTGCCCATTCAGAAAATCAGAATAAATATTCTTGGTTGACTGAAAGGCTTCATTCTGATTATGAATGTTAAGTACATTCTTTTTACATATACTTAACATCTTAAAGGTTTCTTCATATACCTGATAATGCCAAATAATAATACAGACTTTTATTCTTCTGGATCATGTTTTCCAACCTGAAAATTCTTCCTTCTGTCTAATTTGTATCTCTGTAAATGGAGTGTATTTTTTAAATTTTATCCTCTATGAAAAGAGATAATTATGATCATTCCGAAAAGATCATTAATTCCACTTTTAATGAAATAAAGAGCTGCAGGACTGCTTAATTCCTTTTTAAAGACATTTACTGTTAGTCTGTGTAGAAAGATAATATAAATCTCTTGTTTGATAAAGGATAATTTAAAAATCAGATAAGTAGGGCTGGCCGAGTGGCTCAGTTGGTTAAGAGCTCGCTCGCTCAAGAGTTTGAGCTCTGAGCAACAGCGGTTCGAGTCCAGCCCGAGCTGAGCAGCCGCTGAGCTGCCAACAGGTAGCAGGATGGCTCAGCTGTTCCCCTTCCCCCAATTCCCCAGCACTGTTCCCATCCCCTCAATTCCCCAATAAAAATAAAAAAAAAAAAAAAAAAAAAAAATCAGATAAGTAAGGCTAGGAGTCAGTGTTAATTAAAGGAAAACTGGGAAGCAGAGATCTCAAACTGAAAAGTTCTTTTTATTCATGGACTGCTGAAAATCACTTCTCAAAATCTTTATATTTGGGTCTCTTATTTTGCTAATACAGTATCTATTTTTTACATTTATATATATAACTAGTAATTGTGATCATGCTGATTCATTCTGAGAAGCTTTTTCAATAACTTCTCAGAGGGGTAAACATTATACATAATTCATAGCTACTTGTGTTCACTGTCTCAGACTGCAAAAATTATCAAGAAATGAGTGAAGACTGGTTTGATGCTGAAGAGAACCTGATAGGAGTTGACTTCTCAGGAATACAAGAAAACGCAATAGAACAAGGTGGAGGGGACCTGAAGGTTACACGAGGTTGGTTTTTAACAATTTACTACAAAACCCTAACCGAGCTCCTGTGTACAATAGTGCATACGTCTGCTGTGTTACTCTAGGAGACGGAGTAACCTAGAGTTACTCCGTGTGGCTTTGTGTGTGGCTTTTTTTTATACATATGAAAAATGAGAAAGGTAGCCATTTGGAGGTCAGTTTTTTAAAGAGTAGATTAGTTAAAATGTTCATTTCTCTTTCAGAAAACTGTCCGCTGAAAGCTTACATGCAGGGTTTAGTTCACAGGTGGAGGCGCAGTGCTCTCTGCCCTGCTTTAGGCCCGAGCCGCTCTCCCTCAGGGCATGCAGTCTCCTCCTTAGGCCTTCGGCAGGCACGGCCAGCCGTGCACGTGGTCCACGCTCCCATCTGGCAACCAGGACAGCCTGTCAAACTGACATTGCAGAGGAAAACTGCTTTCCCTCCCTCTAATAGTTTAGTCTGTTTCAGGAATGTTTTCATCTTTAGATAGTCCTTAATTGCTTCTGATAGTTGGAATTTCCTCTAGTATCTGTGATTATTGCCCTTCTATCATTTCTAATAATAATATGCTATTATACTTATTTTTCATCTATACTTACGTGGATTTTTGTTTTATTTTACATAATAGCAATAGTTTTATTTTTTTCCTGCTTGTATAAATAATTCTTAGTGATATTTTAAAATAAAATATAAAAGTATAAAAAATTAAAATTACCTGAAGTCTAACCTGAAATAATCATTATTAATATTCTTTACCATTCTTTTATGTGATTTTATGCATATATTTAATACACATATACAGTTTAAAATAAATGGCATTATATCATCTAGTTTATTGTAACTACTGTCTTTTCCTTGCATTTTTCTCCGTATCACTTATCACCCACTGTGTATTTTGCTTACTTGATGTGTTGACTGCCTTCCCACACTCACATAGTAGCTCAGTCGGGGATTTTTTATGTTTTGTTCACTGCTTCTCCCCAGGGCCAGGCACAGCGCTCACTCAGCCCGTGGGTATTCACTAGATGTATTGTATTGAACCTAGTACAAGGTGAGAGGATGGGAGAATGCCTGTCTCCTGATTCCTGCTCACTGGAGCTCCTTGCTCCCTCCTCACCCTAATGTAAAAATATCAAGATAGATAATTAGTTTCACCTTTGTCTCTATACAGCACATTGTAAACCAAAGAGCTAAGCAAGTTAAATGAAGTAGGTTAATGAAGAAGGTTACGCATTATCGCCTAGAGATGAAGGATTCTGCCTGAATTTCAGCACCACCACTTGCTAGATTTGTGACCTCAACTCCTAAGACCTCAATATCCTCCTCTAGAAAATGGAAATGATAACAGTTATACCTCACAGGGTGGTTGTGAGCGTTACATGAGATGATGTGTATAAAGTGCTTGGCATATTGCCTGCAATATAGGAAGCACTCAATAAGTGTTTATTATTTATTATTATTTAGTGAAAAAAATTATAAATATCCCATTATACAAAAATTATAAAACATAAAGCTACTTTAAGAATTCACTTAACAAATATGTATTGTGTACCCCCCTGCCCATGTGCCAGTTGTAGGTTTTGATAGTAACTTGAAAGAATGTTAATTCAGTGAATCCTTTTTGATTTCAGACCAGGTTCTATTCAAAATAGAGACTGTGAAAATGCAGTCCTTTTCTCAAACAAGAAAAAAATATATAATCCTAATGTTTGTGATTTCCGAAATAGTGCTATCTAAATTATTTGTCTCCCCAGCCTTTTCTTGTGTGACATTACCATTACCACAAAGCTATATGTCAGCTATTGATATTTGTCTGATCTAAAGGTTTCCTTGGTGTGATTTTCCCCAGCAAAGGAATATACGTAAGAGAGCCCTGGCCAGAATTTTGGGGGCTGTGTTAGGATCCTGTGCCCATCCAGCAGCTTAGCTAGCACTTCTCTGAACCAGATGGAAGACACTTTCTTGGTTATGATGTAATTGATTACTCTGTTTAGATGTTATTGATCCATTTCTGAGCTACAGGAGACTTAACTATCAACGAATCCAACCTCTTTATTTTTAAGACAGTATGATTAAGGCCCAGAAATATTAAATCTTAAAACGATCGCAGGCTCTTGGTCTTCAGTCTAGTGCTGCTATTTGCTAATGGAAACTAAAATATTTAACAATTTTCACACTTTCTTTTAAAAATATTCATACAGTAATGGTCATATGTTTTTCTACAAACAGAGAAAGAGAGTGTTGAGCCCTTACGACGAGATAAAGGTTACTTCATACATGTTGGCGGTCTCTGCCCCTCAGTGTCCGAGGTATGCCAGGCTGTACTTCCTGAGCTTTCTTTTCAGATCTATTAAGTACTCACGTTTTGGTTGTTTGGGTTTTTTATACCTTTCACAAACTTTTATTTCTCTTTTAGGCTGACTTAAGATCTCATTTCCAGAAATACCAAGTTTCTGAAATTTCAATTTATGATTCTTCTAATTACAGGTATGTTTTCCAAATCCAATACATGTGTGTTTACTAGGCGTCTGCTGTGTACCAGATTTTCTGTACTAGACATCAACCAAGTAGTGGTCACTCGGGCCGTGCCCACTGGCTTTCCTAGCCTAGCAGAGAGACACACATCGACAGATAGCTGCAATCCTTAATTGATGCTGCTCATCAGACCTTTCTTTTGTTATACTTTTTAACTTGTTACTAATGATATATAGGAGAGGTCCTGAATTTTGTGCACTTTATTTCATAGGGCAGTAGAGTACATTAGTTAAGAAAATGGGCTCTACAGCCTGATGGCTTGGGTTCAGTTCCCAACTCCCATCAATAACTTGCTGAATAAATTTGGGCAAATTACTTAAAATTTCAGTACCTCAGGCTCTTTATCCATAACGTAAGGATAATAACACCTGTACCTTCATTGCATTGCTGTGAACCCTTATTGAAGTGAGTAAAGCAATAGAAATGAAACCTGGCATATAGCAGGTGCTCAGAAAATTTTATCTTTAATTTTAATTGTAATTCTTAGTTGATGTTTTTATATTTTTTAGGTAGATAGCTATGTCATCTACATACATTCATATGTCTGTTGCCACTTTCTGTTTTGTGACATTGCCAGGACATGCAGAAGTATCAAATCATAATGGCGATAGTTCAGTGGAAATGCCTTTACTGTTTTAGCACTGAAAATGATACTGTTTGTTTCAGATATTAAAATCTTTATCAATAAGAAAGGATCCTATTTGTAGTTGGGTTTGAAATTTATTAAAAATAGGTGTTTAATTTTGTCTTAAATGGAGTCACTTAAGATCACATACTTTTTTTGTGCTTTTATATTTTAGATATGCATCTCTTGCTTTAAAAAGAAACACTGATGCAAAGATGGCTGTGAAAGAAATGAATGGGATAGAAATAAATGGAAAATCAGTAAATGTGCGGCTTGTTAAAACTCCTGGAGATTGTATATCACCACTTTCCTCCAGAAATGGACATAGAGCTAGTTTGAATATTTTAGAGAAAAGGACCAGCAAAGAAATCAACTCAGCTTCCTCCATTTCTAGATTGCCCAGAACTCGGCCAAGGCAGCTGGGATCTGAGCAAGACAGTGAGTTCTTCCATTTGGACCAGAAGGTTAGTTTTCTTAGAGGGTGTTGGTATGTGCTGTATTGCAATAAGTAGCTTTGGAGAACAAATAACTCTAAAACCAGCAATCTGGAAGTGGGAATGAAAACGTTCATCTGAATCGTTTTTAACCTTAAATCCTCCCTAATCCGTGTTTGTACAACGCCAGTTCCTGGGGGAATGTAGATCTTTGCAGACCCAGCTCCAGAAAACTCATTTCCTTTTAACTTGAACCAGGGCTCTGCCAGTGCCTTGCAGTCCTTTTGTCTCTCTTCTTGGACAGTACTCCTTCATGCTTTTTATCACAGCTAACCTTATCTCGTGATTGTCAAAGCCATAAAATGTCGTCATTTTATTATATATGCTCTCACCTTTACCTCACTGAGGCCTTAAACACCATGTGGAAAATGACGACATTGCCTTGTTAACTCTTCACTCTCCGTGGCTCGGCAAAATGCCTGTGGCATCCTGTAGGCATTCCACCGATTTTTCTAAACATTTACATATAGTGAAATTCGCTCTTTTTGGTGTCTGTGTGTTTACAGAAATGCATATAGGCATGTAACCACCAGTCAAGATAGAGAACAGCCCCTCATTCCAAAACATTCTCTTGTGCCCTGCTCTGTTTCCTGTTATATTTTTATGTTTTCCAGAATGTCATGTAAATGGAATAGCATGTAGCCTTATTAGTCTGGCTTCTTTCACTTACCTTAATGCATTTGAGATTGATTCATGTTGTTGTATGTATCAGCAGTTCATTCCTAGTCATATTTTCACCATTTTTATTGGGTTATTGGTTTTCTTATTACTGTTTTGAGAATTTTTTTTATATTCTGAATATAAATTCTTGATCAGATAGATTTGTGAGTTGCAAATACTGTTTCCTAGCCTATACTTTGTCTTTTCATTCATTTAATGGTGTCTTTCTCAGAGCAGGAGTTTTTAATTTTGATGAAGTACCATTTACCAGTTTTTTATTTTTTAACTTGTGCTCTTAGTGTTGTATCTAAGAAATCCATGGTCACAGAGATTTTGAGTGAGTTTTTGTATAATGTGTGGGGGTGAATTAAAGTGGGGCTTTTTTGTTTCTTGTTTGTGTTTGTTTTTGTTTTACATAAGGAATTGTTCCAGCATCATTCTTAAAAAGACTATCCTGTCTCCACTGAATTGTCTTTGCACCTTTGTCCAAAATCAGTTGACCATATCTGTGTGGGTCTGCTTCAAGACTGTTCTCTTCCATCGATGTTTGTCTCTCTACCAATATTAGCTTGACGATTGTAGCTTTATAGTAAGTCTTAAAATCTGGTAGAATGAGTCCTCCAGCTTTTTTCTTTTTCAAAATTGTTTTGGCTTGTCTACTCCCTTTGTCTTTCAGTATAAATTTTATAATTCAACTTGTCAGTATCTACCAAAAACTCCTACTTTGATTTTTATTGGGATTATTTTGAATCTATAGATTAGAGCAAATCCCTTTTTAATAAATAAATGAAAGAATAAATATTTGTTGAATAAGATAAAGGGATCTCTTCTAGTCTTTATCCCACCGTTCCATGACTCCTCTTGGAGTTATCCCATTCCTTTTCTGTACCATCAGTGACTCCATTTCCACTTGCAGACCTCTCTCTACTCACACTCATGCACAACTCTTCCTAATCCTGGCAATGGTTTCACTTGACTTTTCATTCTTTTGAAGCTCCATCTCTGTTTGTCCTGTGTTTTTACTGCCAAACATCCCAAACAAGTCTTTCCCCATGTATAAGACACACCTTTTTTCGAAAAATTTTGGGTCTAAAAACTGGGTGCATCTTATACAGTTGTTGTATGAGCGCAAAAACAAGTGCAAAAAAAGTGGGAAATGCAAGTTAAAAAAAAAATCTACAACCACTGTATAAGACACACCCAGTTTTTAGACCCAAAATTTTTCGAAAAAGGGTGTGTCTTATATGTGGGGAAATACAGTAGTTTACGTCTAATGTCTTGATTTCTTTGTTTCTCTTCTTCATCCTGATAATCGGACTTTAGTCTGTAAACTGTTAACTGCCCTCTCTGTTGTCTCTAGCAATCTTTTTATTGGTGTTTCCCCCTCTACCTTCTTTTTGACCATCTGGCCTATCTGAAGCTTGATCATCCCTTTCTTGAAACTCTTCTCCTTTCATCTCAGCGACACTTCATGTTTAGGATGCGTTTTTTGGTACATAACCTCCATCCACTGTAGGAAAGAAGGAAACAAAGTACAACTGGGGGGCCTACCCACGGTCCTCAACTGGAGACGGAGCTGTGGCTCCCCGCTCCTCTCTCACATGGTAGAAATGACTTCTTGCCTCTGCACCCTGGTGTGCGCTGTTCTTCTGCCTCTCCCTGTGCACTGGCTTTTTCTGTGTGCGCATGGCTTTCTCTTCCTCCTTTTGGCTTTCTTTTGCTTAATTCTAACTTGACAGCGTTTTCAGTTCAAGCTCCTGTCACTTGACTAACTCGTTCTCGCTGTGTTCCTGTTCCTTATTCTGCAGACTGGGACCCTGACGGCCCAGCCTGTGCCTCTGGTGCTCAGGTGCCAGCACTCGTGCTCCAGTCAGCTGGGGCAGTGGTCCCTGGAGTGGCCGAGGGAAGGCTGTGTGGTATAGATGGGGCACCGGGGGCTGGGGAGGAGCTTGTTGACTCAGAGTTCATGGGCACAGAGGCTGCCATTACCAGCTTCGTTAAACTGTTCTCGCAAGTTCCTATACCTTTCTAGCAATTTCTTGTCACCTTTCTTTTTCTTTGATTCTCAACATTTATTCATTATATTCATTTAGAGGCAGAATAGTGATAGGGGAAGAACACACTGTAACCTGGCTCTGCCACCTACTTGTCACGTGGCTGAGGGGCTTCATAACCTTTGATCTGAGCTCCCGTTCCTTAGTTCTGACCTTCCAACTGTTGTGAAGTTTAAATGAGTTAACACGGAAAAACTCTTACAACTGTACCTGGCATGGAATGTACTCAATAAATAGGAGCCATCCTTGTTGGTTACCAGTAATTTGGCTCTGTTGTGGAAATCTCATCCTCTTTGTGGTTTTAACTATCACTTAAATGATTACATCTCAAAGTTTTATTTATTTAACAAGCACTTATTACATACCAATTAGGTACACTATTCTGGGCACTGGAAAAGCAGCAGGGAACAAAACAGACAAAACTCAGCTCTTAGCTTAAATCTAGTGAAGGAGATGAAGCAATAGCAAATAAGTAAAATCGATCATATTCTGATGTGGCAGATCTAATATTTTATATATCTTATCCTGATTTTTAATAGGCTTTAAAACCTCAGCTCTACACCTGAAACTAATAAAATTTAGGAAAAAAGAAAAATCAGGGAGGGAGGAAAAACCCTCAGCTCTTCTTTTCTTGAACTTTTATGAGATTTACAATTGTTTCATACAATTTATAACCTACTTGCCTGGTTAATATTAATTGATCATTTTAATTTTGCCTTCAATTGGATTATAAGATCCATAAGTGGAGGGGGTTCTGTTTTCTATCACTAATTTCCCCCCCGCTCCCCGTTACCCTCCAGCATGTGGTACAGTTCTGGGCAGATAGTTTGTATTCATTACATAGTTAGTGAATAAGATGTAGAATATTTATAACTACCATATAGATCAGTTTTTCTCTGTCAGGTTGGGTAAGAGAATTAAGCCTTCATGCCCTAAGCCTAAAAATATGCATTGTATGTAATGAATTAAGCTCTGTCCTATCTGTCTGGAGTGGAACTAGTTACATCCTGTCTTTGGGGAAATGGAGAAAATCGTTAATGTAATTTGTGTTCTGTGGCTCAGATGAGGAATCCCAGCTGAGAAAGTTGTCTTTAAACATAGCCTCATGTACTTTATCACTGCTATAAGAAAACATGTTGGCCATTTCTGTAATGCATGGCCCTGAACACAGCACAAGTAAATCTCTTGGTATATAATCCCAAATCAAAGTAAATTTGTTAGGACTTTTGATTTTACAATTTTTAATTAATATTGTAATTACTATTTTAATTTTACTATTTTAAGTGTAATATAAAATATATTTTAATTGAATAAGCTGGATCGTCTCTGTGTAATGGGTACTGATTTTTAAAAAGCTTTTAAAATGCTTTTTTAGTGTGTCAAGAAGAATTGTAAACAGACTGAATCTACTAATTCATTACCTGATACACCTGCTCAATTCATACCTCCAAATACATTGAACCTACGTAGCTTTACCAAGATCGTGAATACACTGGCTGAACTACATCCAGAAGTTAGCAGGTACTGAACACAATTATATTGTAACTGGTTGTAAAATTTTTATGTAAAAATATAGTTCAATTCACTAACTTAGCCATCTTTGGAATGCGTTAACTTTGGAAGGGACAAATGCTCATGTATGTTTTCCTTTTGCACAGAGACCGTATTATACATGCTCTTCAGGAAGTAAGAATAAATCATAACGGTTTTCTGAATGGCTTATCTATTAATACTATTGTGGAAATGACTTCATCTGTTTTGAAAAACTCTGCTTCCAGTTAGGAGTAAGAGAAGCAATAAGAGGCAAGTCAATCATATCTTTTATATTTAACTGGTACTTAAAAACTTAAGCTATTGATTTCATATTTTCCAAATTAAAAAAATATTAAATTTCAAATAAAAATAATAAGATTATAAAATTTAAAAACATACTGTATTAGGTAATTATTAATGCAAAACCCGTTACCCAAAAGCTAATGGACTTGAGCAGTGTTCATCTCCTAGCTTGCAGATCAGAATTTAGAGGTCGTTAGCTGGGTGGTTTTGGCCTCGGGACTTGTGCAGTCACGTCAGGAAGCTTGCCTGGGCTTCAGTCATCAGGAGGCTCTGCTTCTGAGACGGATCATCCTCATGGCTGCTGGCGAGAAGCTCCTAACTCACCGCGTGGGCCTTTCCATAGAGCTGCACCCTGGCAGCCGGCTTCTCTAGGGCAGGAGATGCTAGAGAGCAAGATGGAAGCCACAGGGTTTTTTGTGACCTACCCTCAGGAGTCACACTTCACTGTTTGTGCCATGTTCGATTAGATATAACCACTCTGTGAAGTCCATACTCAACAAGAGAGGAATTAAGCCCCACCTCCTGAAGAAAAGTGTATTGAAGAATATGTGTATATATTTTTAAATTACCACACACAAATTCAGAATACTGTTATACAAAATAGAGGATGGGGGGGGGGCCGGCCAAGTGGCACGATGGTTAAGAACTGGCTTGGGATGCCGGAGGGCCCCGGTTCGGATCCCACATATGAGGGCCAGTGACACTGCCCTCTACAGCTAAGAT